CGTAGAAAGATTGGTTGATGAGTGGAGGGACGTCTTGAATTTCATAGTGGAAAAAAAATGAGGATCGAACGTAGAAATCGAAAGACAGCGAAATAGGCTGCTAGAGCGGAAAAATTAAACTTAGTATATTGTTTCTTTGTAAGTTCTCCACATTATACGCCAATCTTTAAGTTTAGAAGTTTTTCGTTTTCGAAACTGACTGACTACTTCTAGCTCACTTCTTTCAAAGGCTGGCTCATTAAATTAACTTTAACTTACCTGACTAGACTGCAATCACTACTTTGCCTCTAAATAAACTGTTTTTCAATCTTTTAGCTCTTGATTAAAAGCGATTTGGATTGGTTAATTTGGAGATCGATTTGAAACCATCCACTGAACATCAAACGCAGTGAAGCATAAAATTGTTTACTAGCTTTGGATTTCCACGCTTCTGCAAATAACTCATCCTCTTATGCCTTTCATAATAACCACAATGGTTTATAGACGACCATAAACTCCGAGAGAAAAAAAAATGAAATTCTTGATAGATCTCAAAAATTTTCTGCTTCTACCTCATTTCGAAAATGTATTGAAAGAGTAACGACGAATACACTTCTTCTGTCGAGGCAACTTCAAGGGGAAAAGATGTGCAACTGTTAACTTTGGTGTTGGTATATTTGATTGAATATCATTTGGTAGTTCCACGAAGTTATGTTCTAAAACTTACCTATTTAGTTAGGAGCGACCTACGCTGATTGTTATACTAAAATACAGCTACATGAACTCGAAGTGTTGTGGGGAAAAAAGGCTCACAGTACTGATTGAGAGCTGTAGGAAGGAATGGTTGAAGGTTTTCAGAAATTTTCATTTGATGAAACTTTGGTTTTTTCTTACTTTTCAATTTATTTGTTAGTTACAGTGCAGATGATATATTTGATTTATTGTTGCCAGTGAAAATGATTCAACGATTTTGAAATTCTGTTACAGAGAAAGGGAAACATTCCAAAGAAGGGGATGCAATAATTGCGTTGCTTAAAGGAATAATGAAGTATGTTAATCAAAAGTTAAGGAAGGTTTTCTGCTGTGTATAATCCTAATTTCGAAACAAGAAACTCATTCTTCCTTTTCGCCAATCTTTTAACAATATCTTATTAAAATGAATATCGAAAGTATCGGAGTTGAAATACTTATACGTTAATTACAATCATCTAATATGTCTTTAATGGATCCATTTAATGGGCTCAAATTTCAATTGACAATTACTAAGAACGAACTATTTGCATCTCTTTTTTTTGTGACTGAAAGCAAAATGTCTTGTTCTTTCCTTCTTTTTGCACATTCGGCAAGTACATTATATTCTGTTTAAGATCCAGTTCAATCCACTTTTAGGAAACGAATCTAATAACAAATAACAGCAGTAATTGCAATTATCACCATCACAATAGATGGTAGCTTGACCGTGACCGGGCTTACTGTAGCAATCGGGCCATTGTTTTGAATTTATTTTCGATGATTTCCACTCTTGCTTCTAATCTCATGCAGTCTTTTTTCAGTTCACGGTTATCCTTTTTCAGTTGGGCATTTTGATGTCTCAGTTGCTCGATTTCCCATTCCAGCTCATCTCGTGCCATATAGGTTGCCCTGTAATAGTTCTGCATGCGATAATTGCATTGGAAATCACTTCACGAGACAACTGTAATGATTGGACCACTGAGGAGTTTAAACGATCAGATATTGTAATCTTATCAAGTTAGGTAATGAGTGATGCCCAGTT